AAATAATAATAATAATAATAATAATACATTCTTTTTTATTTTTCTTTCTCATCTTAAATATATAGTTTTAATTTATAAATAAAAATATTATTTTATAAAATGATAATAAAGATATAGATACACTTACACGCATGCATTTCTGCTAATATATTATGCTAAAATTCTCAAAAGTTTTGTTGTCCTTCTGAAAATATTCTTATATTGGTGAATTTAAATTAAATTCAAATCAAATTTGATACACCAAGTTGAAATAAGTGAGGTGTGTCTAACAAAAACATAGAATTGATAGATGTTACATCTTAATTAATTTGTTTTGTAACGCAAATAATAATAATAACCCACTCTTATATTTCTTAAAGAAATAATTAGGATCTTCCAATATTCACAACTCACGTGTTCTTACTAAAATGTAAGATAAAAAAATTAGACTTATAATATTAAATTAAACATTCACTTTAATAATATTGTTTGATAAAAAAGTATATTTTAAATGAGGAAAATTAATAAAAATATTTTTTAACTATTAATAGAAAAGTAATTATAAAATTTAAAATATTAAATTCAATTTTTACTTTTTCAATTTAAATAATTTTTTATACACAGCATTCAAATATATGTCACTCCGCAAGATTCCTTCTTCAGATTTTCTAGAAGGTTGAGTAGATTTTACATGTATCACTTTATATAAAAAAATTCATAATAAAAGAATTAATAAATGATTTTTAATTTTAAAAGTTATAATTATCTTATTTATATATATATATATATATATATATATATATATATATATATATATATATATATATATATAGCTTCTCCTGTGTGTCCCACTAACTAATGACGTGTCGAATCAATAGCTATGTTGAATTAATTTTGAATTTAATTATTAAAGACAAATTAAAAAAAAACTCGAAAATAACACTATTGACTTAAAAATTTCTCATTCCATAAAAAAATATAATCAAATTCATCTAATAATTTTTTAAATAGGTAAATATTTAATTCATCTATTTAACTATATTGTAACTTTTTTTTTCCAAAATACTGTTTTCTAAATAGAGTTCCATTTTAATATTTTTTTTATAACTAAATATTAAATAATATAAAACCAGGTTCGTAAATACCTATATTCAGAACTGGAAATTTAATTCAATGTATTAATGAAATAATTATATGATTCACTACATATAGAATAATAAATAGTGATTTAATCTAACTATTCAAATGATTTTTATTTCTAAAAGTAAATATATTTTTATGACATGTAAAATAAATAGATTTTATTTTATTTATTTATATTTAATAAAAAAACTAAAAAAATAAATACTACTAATTTTTGTCTGGTTGTGTATTTAAGGGAATGGAAATTGATAGGACACCTATTAATATATAGGATACTTGGTTACGATGTGATTCCTCTATTTTGTTCTTAAATAATACAAAAAATATTATTTATGAACCTTAAATAAATATTAGAGAAAACATTTAATATTTTAAAATAAAAATGAAAAAACCATTTATATGGATTAAGATTAAAATATTCTTAGTCTATAAGCACAACGATTTAAAATTTTAAAAGGATGTTTTATAAATAAATTTTTTTAGAAAAACTAGATAAAAACTCACTTATACGATAATTAAAATCATGTTTAACATTTTCCATAATTAAATGAATCAATTAAATTTATATGTTATTACTAAATAAATAAATAAACATATTGAATTTTGACGAGAACAAGATTCTTGCTTTTCATTGAGTATATAAACAAATTTTATTTTTTCTATAAAATAGTTAAATTTTAATTACTTTTTTTTACTGTATATGCTAACATTTTTATATTTACCGTATTTATTATTTAATGAAAATATTCTTTTAATTTAATATTTTATAATAATAATAATATATAATAAATATACCTAATTTTTCAATTATATATGATATCATATTTAAAGTATATTTATTAATATTAAATAAGTATTATTTATGATTTAAAACAATATTAATAAAAATATATAAATTAAATTATTTGATTATATTATTAAAAAAATAACTTTTTATTATTATAATTTTTATAATATCATCAAGTATAGAAATATCTTGGATTTTCCAATTTTTTCAAAAAATAAATAGAACTCGATCATATAGATCTATAATTATTATCCAAACTGTTTATTTATTATTTAATGAAATTTATTTTATCAACAACATTATTTATAATAGATAAAAAAATATGTATTAATGTTTTTTCATTTTCCTTTTATGATAAATATATAAATTATTTAAAATATAGTGAAGAAGTAGATACGTAATTGAAGAAAACAATTAATATCATCACAAACTTTATTGAAAACAATAAATAAAAATACTATTTTTTTTAATTCTTCCCTTAAAAAAAAAACAAAAAACTAAACATATATGAATGAAATACAACTTCCCCCGATCAACCGTACATCACTTGAAACTCATCAATGTGGTTTCTTTCATTGCCATATTCGTCGGTGTTTGGTCCACTTTTCATCTTGCTTTAAGCATCCGTGATGCATTGAATAACTATTTTGTGGACAACAACAACACACACACTTCACTCTTTTTTCTTTTTCTTTTTTCTCTTGCATTCATTGTTCATGCTAAGTAGTTGGAACCCTCAACTTCTACCCTCTATACATAGCTGAGGTGGAAGGTTTCCAAAACATCGAAAACCTTTTCCACTTTTGAGATTTCTCTTTTGGCAAAGAATAAACCTAGCTAGGGTATATTAGGGTTTTCATTTTCTTTGGTAAGATCATCACATATTCTAACAAATTTAATGGGACTGTACTTTCTTAATTATCATTAAAGAGAAATTGACACAAAGTTTACACTAATTTGTTAGGAGAATACTTCACGTAACTTTTTTTAGGTGGAAAACAATTTTCACAAGATCAATCATATCTATCGGCTTTGAAAAAGAAAAAATGGTTGTATTAAAAACTTAGCACTAAAAAGTTTAACAAAGTTTTGAGGACTCCGAATTTAATTACTTTAAATTCTTCGCATCCTAATAAAAGAAAAAAAATGTAAGATAAGAAACATGATTTTTTATTTATTTATTATTATAATTGTATCATATTAGATAAACATATTATAAAGCCTCTTGAATGAATAGTCATTACAATAAATTGTGAAACTGTGAAAAAAAGAATTGCGTTATTAATGTATTACAAGAAAATTTTGATTTATTAATGGATAGTTTTTGTTGAGAAGTGTCAAAATTTGTCAGAAAATATTTATTATCTATTGGTCAAAATGATGAAATCGCTAAAATTATTACCGACAATCTCATTTTATTACTTGATAATTATGCATGAAAATATAAATGAAAAAGAGTTTTTAATAATTATTTTCAGATATATAATTGTTAGTAATCATTGATAAATATATTCGTCTAGTTTTTAAAAATATTTACTGATAAATATATGGATTAATAATTATTTATGGATATATTTATAAACAATTATCATTAATTTTATAACGATATTTATGGATGAATTTTATATAAATTTTTTTGAAGGAAAAGCACTCTTGGATTGAAGTAATATAAATATAATTTAATAAAATTCAGAGATGAAAAAAAGAATGGTTAAATCAATACTAATAAGAGGTTATATAAAAGAGGATACTCATTGATAACTAGAGTTAAGATAATCTTCTTTTTCTTAACACTATATATACTAATATTAAAATATTATAATAAGTACATGATAATTTTACCAATAAATTAAGTTTTGTTTAAACCTATAAGTTATTAAATTTTAATTAAATTGGTATAAAAATAAGAAAAATAGTAAAAAATTGATAGAATAAAACAAAAATTATTAAATTTTTGGGTCGAATAAAAAAATAATTTTTTAAGATAACTTTTTATTTATTTTTAAATTTTTTCTTTATACATGTTACGTTAATTTTATATAATAATTAAGTTTTTATATTTTTACTTTATTATTATTATTATTATTATTATTATAGTAATTATATTTTGTTCTATTGTAAAGTAATTATTTTAATAATAAATTTATTATATTATAAAAATATTATTTATTAAATCTTAATGAAATATAAATTTGTAAACCTATGACCACTTTTAAACTTTAAATTCAAACTTTAAACTTTAAGTGACTATTAGATTGGTTTGATTTTCATTGGTTTTGGTTTATGCCTTCGAAGATTATAAGATTATATTTTTCTTTTCTTATATTTGTAAACTATTTTATTTCATGCGAATAACGTAATTTTGTACAATGATTTATTTTATTCTTACTTTATTTTTATCATTATAAATAGTAACTTTTGTTATTTATAATTGTTTTTGTCTTTTGCAAAGTATTTATTGTTAATAATAAATTTATTATATTATAAAAATATTATTTTATTAAATACGAATGAAATATGAACCGGTAAAACTTAAATTCATACTATGACCACATTTAAACCTTAAATTTAAACTTTGACCAACTTAGTGACCGTTAGAAATAAACTTGTTGTGCCTTGGGTTAGATTTGTTCGACTTTCATTAGTTTTGGTTTATGGTTTCTCATGACATTAAATTTATCTTTTCTTATATAAATATCATTGATGAATTTGTGTTGAGATATGTATATATGTTTATCTTTATTAAATAATAAAAAAAGTTCCACTTTGTATGCAAAATATATAATATTTTATCATATATTATGAGTTACACTTATATCACCACCATCTTAAAATGTTGAAGCTCTATGGATATATATATATATATATATATATATATATATATATATATATATATATATATATATATATATATATATATATATGATAGATAGATAGATAGATAGATAGATAGAGAGAGAGAGAGAGAGAGAAGATATCCATTTGCATGTTGAAGTGACACTTAACACAACCTTATTTAACATGGGGATATCCATATATAGGATGGATTTCACCCACCAAAGAGCTAAATTAATATTTCTCTTGGTCTTCATTAATAATGAGATAACTCTTTGACTTGCACCTTAAGAGGTTGGAATCCATGTTGAAGAGTTGAATGCCAAACTTTGTCAATGTTATTCATTGTGTGGCCACACTCATGATCACTCCATCCTTCTAGAGAGTGGACTATCCCAGCTATGCGCCATGCACTCATCACCCTTCTTGCCAACCAATCCTACCATTAAAATATATGATGTATATGAAATTTTATAATTAAAAACAAATAAGGGACAACCCAATTAATATAAAATATAAGGATCATAATACTTTGATGTATATCGTTAGACAATTTTGATAAAAAAATAATAACCAGAAAATAAATGATACTTTTAACTCAGAACGAGAAACAAGAGAGACACTTTTTGTCCAAGATAAATACCGAAAATAAATTAGGGTTTAATTCTAAAAGTATATTAAGATTTCAACATAAAATTAATAAGTAATTTGTAAAGTAATTTAATAAGTGTTTAAATCATAAGTGATGACATGATGCAACAAAATTAATCCAATCTTTTTGGTTGAAATGGAAAAGGATAAAGTAAATCAATCGAACATACAAGAATTCTAGAACTAACCTCACAAGAATGGATGTTTTCGACAGACGAAGGAGCTAACATTGCTGGGGTGGAATGGTAGAAGCAATCCTTGCGATATTTCTTTGGTGGAAATTGTGTGTATGGAATAAATAATGTTCCTTTGGGTGCTTTTTGTTGTTCTTCTTCACTCAGTCCATCTCCTACTAACCAAGTCTATCCAAAAGCAAAGATTGAAGATGAAAAAAAGGGAACTTTGTTTGTCATTATTGACAACGTTTATGCAAAAATGGTGACCAAAAGTTAGCAAACATTTTTTAGAAGATGATTTTGTACATAAAACTCGTCCTTGAAATCCAAATATTGTATACCCAATCTTAATATTATATATATATCATTTACAAATTATCAGTTCAATAAAACAATTTTCTGAGAAATAATTTAATTTCAATTCTACCAAACGAAAGAAATTATTATTTTCATATAATTTTCTAAAAATATTAAATTATTTTGTATACCAAACATTATATAAGATTTGTTTTTTCTTTGATTTGAAATTACACAAACAAGGAAAGAATAAAAGCATAGGAAGATAATAGAAAATAAACGAAATTGCAAAAGTGTCCTTGTTTATTATTATTTAAATCTTTTAAATAGAATTTAACATAATTTTGCTTCCTTTTTCTTTACTTTTATCACTTTTTTATTCTCTCTAGTTATTCAATGAAAGAAAAAAAGAAAAAAAAAGATCAGTTACCTCTTTCTTTTTCCTTTCTTTCTTTTTTTAAATTCTAAAAGTGAAGCTAAGAAAATTTATCATGTATTTTTTACCGTCTGTGTGTTGCTTTTGGAAAAGGTCAAATTAGTTTCAGAGCACTTGAATGACTTTTTGAGCCTCACATAATCATCCTCATGCAATGTAGCAACCTGAAATATAATTAAGAGAATGTTTGACTTTTCTAATTTTAAAATAAATCGCTTTTCGTCTTCAGATGATTTAGATCAAGATGAACAGTGATGTAAAAAGTATTTGAAAGATAAAGAATTGTGTTTTTCAAAAGAATAGACAAAAATTTACTAAAAAAACCTGACCTGAACACCTTTTTGACACAATGAGAAGGCAAGAGCATAGGCAACCTTAGTGAGTTTTCCCCTAAGCAACACTTGTGTTGTTCCTTTGGGAATGCTGTTAAGAACAACAGCAACCACAAGACTGCTTCCATCTACAATCTTAACTTTCAACTTTGGATGTCTACTAACATATAACCCTCCATAGATGTTAAGCTCCTCTCCTTGATTTCTTAGGCCTAAGCTCAACACTTTTATGCCTTTTCTGTCTGCATCCAGTATTGCTTCTTCTATCATTCTGTTGATAGTCACTTTTTGTGATTGCAGAAAGTACTACAGAAAAAATAGGTAGACATTTTCATCAAGTATTGTTGTAGGGTTTTATGAACATATTCTTAGAAAACTTTTATGTAGAAAAAGTGCTTTTGTGTGAAAACATTCGAAATGACTGATCTTGGCTTGATGAATTACTTCCTCGGGATAGAGGTGATACAACAAAAAGAAGGAATATTTATCTCTCAGAAGAAATATACTGAAGCTCTACTAAAGAGATTCAAGATGTACGGATGTAAACCTGTCACTACTCCTTTGGTGGTAAACAAAAAGCTAAAGAAAGATGATGGAGCACTAGAAGTAGATGTATCACGATACAGGAGTTTGATCGGAAGCCTTCTATATCTCACAGCTACACGACCAGACATTATGTATGCTACAAGTCTTCTATCAAGATTCATGCAAAAGCCAAGTCAGATTCACTATGGAGCAGGAAAAAGGATTTTAAGGTATCTGCAAGGCACAAGAGAGTTTGGTATATGGTACAAGGTCATGACCAACTCAAGGATGATTTGCTACACTGACAGTGATTGGGCAGGATCAATAGATGACATGAAGAGTACGTCAGGATATGCCTTCTCACTTGGATTGGGTTTTTTCTCATGGGCATCAAAGAAGCAAGCAACTGTGGCACAATCAACAGCTGAAGCAGAATACGTAGCTGCTGCTGAAACTACAAGTCAAGCAATATGGCTACGAAGAATACTTGAAGAAATGGGTGAACCACAAGATGGACCAACTACTATCTATTGCGACAACAAATCAGCAATAGCAATGACGAAGAATCTTGTTCATCATCAAAGAACAAAACATATAGCTATTAAATATCACTTCATCAGAGAGGCTGAAGCGACTAAACAAATTCAACTTGAGTACTGCACTACAGAAGATCAAATTGCAGACATATTTACCAAGGCACTACCAAGAGCCAAGTTTGAACAATTACGTTTCATGCTTAGAGTTATAAGAATTTGCATCAAGGAGGAGTGTTGAAAGATGATACAAATTCTAGAAAGATCTAGAATATAAAATCTTAGATGTTACTCGAATTAGGAATTATATATGAGTAATATCTAGAATCCTTAGAAGATTCTAGAAATGTTTGAAAGTAGAAGATATATAATTCTAGAATTAAGAAAATCTAGAATTATGTAAAACTTCTAGAATTATGTAGAAAACATATGTGTACTAGTAGAAACTACAACATGATTCTAAAAATAAAAAAGAAGAAGGAATGTGTAGAAATAGAATAGTGTAGAAACAATGAAATTAGTAGAAAATTCTAGAATCTTGTAAGTAAAGCCTATAAATAGGCATGAAGGGAGTCTTTGTATGTGTGGAAAATCTAATACAAGCTCCTACATATCTTGTAACACTTCTAACATCAATTACTATGTTTCCTGATACAAACCTTCTCCTATTTGTCCACCTCTTTCTAAAAACTATTTTCTACATAAATCTCACTATTAAACATCAAACTATCTTTCCTATCCTTCTTAAAATACTAACAAATACTGAGAGAAAAACTTTCTCTACGTTACTTTCTCTAAGACAAACATGGCAAGCTTTATTGCATAATGCATTATTTTTACTGGCACCAATATTTGATATAGGCTACACAATCTTATCAGAAATGTGTCCAAGTCTTCTATGTTAGGATCAGAGTACCAGCACAAATACACACAACTAAAATAGAGACGAGAAAATAACCCTGACAATAGGCAAAAATGAAAATTTTATAATGACCACTCTTTCCTTTTACAATTGGAAATTACCAATACTAGGAAAGTAAAAGAGAAAGAAGGAGAAATATTTGGGATGTATGAAATAAGGGGGGAGGGGCTCCTTTTATAAGAAGGAGGAGAGCCCCCAATTGAAGTTCCCACGGATGTGGGACTTCTTCCTTCACAATCTCCCACTTGAAGATTTTGATGAAATTAATCAAATCTTCACACTATGTCTTCTTCTCTCACATCCATGTTGCTTATGCTTCCGATAGGCCATAGAGGGATCGACTCCATATAAACTTGTCAGCATTAACCGGTTTTGTCATTACATCTGCTAGGTTCTTTTCAGTGTGGATCTTCTGTAAGTCTACACTTCCTTCTTCTACTACTTCTCGAACAAAATGATATCTTATTCCTATGTGTTTTGTCCTCGAATGAAAGGCTGGATTCCTTGCAATGTGTAAGGCACTTTGACTATCACAGTACACAACAATTTGTTGTTGCTTGTGACCAAGTTCCCCCATTATTCTTTTAATCCAGATAGCTTCTTTACATGCTTGGGTGACAGCCATGTATTCAGCTTCCGTAGTAGACAGAGCTACCACATCTTGTAACTTGGATAACCAACTTACTGCCCCTCCATTGATGGTAAACACATAACCAGTAGTAGACTTCCTTTTATCCAGATCACCTGCAAAATCCGAATCTACATAGCTTCCGACAACCGCTTCGATCCTCCATAACATAATGCAACATTTGAGGTTCCTTTTATATACCTAAGGACCCTCTTCACATTTTGCCAATGTTCTCCACTAGGATTCCCCATGAATCTACTAACCACTCCCACCGCTTGTGCAATGTCCGGTCTTGTACAAATCATGGCATACATAAGACTTCCCACCGCCGATGCATACGGTACTCGAGACATTTCGATCCTCTCCGCTTCACTCGCTAGGACTCATACTTGAGGATAACTTACAGTTGACAGGAAGTGGGGTAGAAATTGGCTTGCAATCTTGCATGTTGAAGCGCCGCAAGATCTTAAGTAAATAATTCTTTTGAGAAAGCCAAATCTTCCTATCTTTTCTCGTCTCGGTGAATTTGCATCCCTAAAATCTTGTTTGCTGGTCCCAAGTCCTTCATATCAAACTCCCTAGCCAATTGTGCCTTCAATTCTTGGATTCGAGCTTTGTTAGGGCCTACCACCAACATGTCATCCACATACAACGAGCAATATGATGAAATCATTTTCTTCAAACCTATTGTGGTAAGTACAATGGTCCGAACTTAGTCCGTAGTATCCGAGGCTAATAATGAAGGAATCAAATCTCTTATACCAACACCTTGGCGCCTGCTTTAGACCGTATAGAGATTTGTTCAACCCGCAAACCAAGTTTTCTTGCTCTTTGAAGCCTTCCGGTTGGAGCATATATATTTCCTCTTCAAGTTCTCCATGAAGAAAAGCAGCTTTTACATCCAATTGCTCAAGATGTAAATCAAATGCAAGCACACATCGCCAGGACAATTCCGATTGTTGTCAATCTAACAACTGGTGAGAATATCTCGTTGAAATCAATGCCTTCTTTCCGAGCATATCCTTTTACCACCAGTCTAGCACGATATCTTTCTACTTGATCATTGGCATCTCTCTTGATCTTATAGACCCATTTGCAACCAATGGCTCTGCGACCTTTTGGAAGTTCCACAAGGTGCCATGTCTTGTTTTTATGAAGAGCTTCAATTTCTTCTTCCATAGCAGCTCATCCATAGAGGAGCTTCGAACCACTCACGGCCTCTTGAAAAGTTGAAGGTTCTCCTTCTTCACTTAGGAGACAATACGCATCATGACTTGCCATCACATATTGTGAATGCCAAGATGGTCCGACTCTTTCTCTTGTTGATCGTCGGAGTTCTCCTTCTTCCACCTCATTTGGCTCATGTTCTTCATGCTCCTCCTCTAACTCGGAGGAATGTTCCGAAGTCTTCTTCTCTATCTCGTACTATAGTCTTGTCCTTTTCCGAGCTGTCATTTATCCGCTTGCTTTGCAGTTCATTTTCTCGCAAAGACGACATCTCTCGCTAACAATAACTTTGTGGGCAGTGGGATCCCACAAGCGATACCCCTTCACATTGTCGAGCATATCCCAAGAAGATGCATTTCCTGGATTTTGGATCCAACTTCGTCCTTTCTTGGGTGTTGTACATCACGTACGCGGGACAACCAAACACATGTAAGGAAGAATAATCGGTTGATTTTCCACTCCACATTTCCATAGGAGTTTTCAACCCAATTGCTGTTGATGGAGACCGATTTATCAAGTAACAGGCAGTATTCACGCTTCGCCCGGAAAGACTTTGTTATGCCTGCAGCTTGCAAGCATAGCTCTGGTTCTCTCTAGAAGAGTTCTATTCATCCGCTCTGCTACACCATTCTCGCGAGGCGTGTGTGGAACAGTAAAATTGTCTCACAATTCCTTCTTGCTTGCGTAATGCTAGAAAATCTCCATCTACATATTCTCCTCCATTGTCCGTCCTCAAACACTTGATTCTCCTTCCGGCCTCAAGTTCTACTTGTGCTTTGAAGTCTTTGAACCGCGCAAATACTTCGGACTTCTTCTTGATAGGGTATACCCATAATCTCCTCGAGTAGTCATCGATGAACGACACAAAATATTTTGCTCCTCCGAGAGATAATTCCGGTGATTCCCGAGACATCGAATGGATCAAGTCCAAAGTTTGCTTACTCCTTGTGGTGGTTCTTGCAAACTTCAACCCGTGTTGTTTGCTTGTCACACAATGCTCACGGAAGGGTAAATCGACCTTCTTGAGCCCGGGTATGAGATCACGTTCCGCAAGAATTTGCAGACCTCGCTCCGACATATGTCCAAGTCTACGGTGCCATGTTATCGCCGCTTCTTCTTGGCTTGTCGACGCAGCTTGTTGCATGATTTTCTTGCAAGGTGTCTCCCATAAGTACATACAAGTTTGCCATGATTTTCTCTCGCTTTCATGACAACTATGTTTCCCCTCACTACCTTTAAGATTCCTCCTTCAACATGGATCTTGCAGTCGAGGTCATCCAATTGCCCTATAGACAATATATTTTTCTTCAAGTCCTTCACATGTCGTACTTCTTGGATTGTGCGAATAGTACCGTCATACATTTTTAATTTGACAAGTACTCAACTCCAAGCAATCTCCAATGCATGGTCATTTCCCATGAACACGGATCCACCCGAGATAGGCTTGTAGGTTTGAAACCAATCTCGGTGTGGGGTCATATGCCAAGTTGCACCTGAATCCATTATCCACTTGTCATGAAATTCGTTTCCGCCATTAGAGCCGATTGTCGCTTCGCTACTGCAATTACTCCTTCCTCCGAAGTACTCGCAATGCAACCTTGTGAGGTTGATTCTTCATTCTTCCTCTTCCAACACTCTTTCTTCGTGTGCCCTTTCTTGCCACGAGTAGTAGCATTTAAATTTGAAAGTCTTCTTGTTTCGAGAGCTAGATCTGCCATGATCTTGACTCCCACTTGAGCCACGTTCCGCTGATCTTCCTCTCATCATCGTCAAAACTTCTGCTTGTTTAGAACTTTCTACCTTATTCATTCGCCTGGATTCTTCTTCTAGAATAGCTCCGGCAACATCGTCAAAGTGTAGTTGTCCTTCAATATTATTATTTGTAATGTTGATGATGAGTTGATCATACGAGTCTGGCAAGCTCTGAAGTAAGAGTTCCGCACGCTCATTCTCAACTATGTTGAAATTTGCTGCCGCTAATTGGGCAAACAAGGTGTTCAGCTTGGTTGATGTGGTCCGTCACCGATGTGGACTCACTCATCCGAAGAGTATAGAGTTTCCTCTTCAGGAATATCCTTGTGTGAAGTGACTTCACCTCATTAGAGGGCATCCCAAATCTCCTTTGCAGAATCTTTCTCCGCAACACTGGATAGAACTGAGTCTGCCATTGCCAAGTGTAAATTTGCAATAGCGTTGCCGTCAATTTTCTTCCAATCTTTATCCGTCATTTCTGCAGGTTTTCCCTCAATTGCTTCTGCGCAATTGTCCTTTCTCAAGATTGCCTTCATCTTCAATTTCCACAACGAGAAATTGTTCCCGTTGAACTTCTCTATCTCGTACTTTGCTGCCATGGTTGTGTTTCCACTTATGCAACTTTCACTTATGAATAGTATTGTCTACTGGAACAATAGTAGTAGACCGTGAACCAGTACACCAAGTAGGTTCCCAGGAAAGAGAGGTGGGTCACTAATGGACACGCTTAAGTACCAAGTCTTTCCTAGCCAGAACTTTCCTCAATAGTACTTTCACACTACCACACCTTTTCCAGTAACAACTCCTTTCTGATGTGGAAGATCAGATTAAACTGCAACCACAGAGCATACTCAGAATTTTACCAACACTATTCTAGTGACTAGCGCAACGGGACTCGAACGCAGCTCTGATACCACTGTTAGGATCAGAGTACCAGCACAAATACACACAACTAAAATAGAGACGAGAAAATAACCCTGACAATAGGCAAAAATGAAAATTTTATAATGACCACTCTTTCCTTTTACAATTGGAAATTACCAATACTAGGAAAGTAAAAGAGAAAGAAGGAGAAATATTTGAGATGTATGAAATAAGGGGGGAGGGGCTCCTTTTATAAGAAGGAGGAGAGCCCCCAATTGAAGTTCCCACGGATGTGGGACTTCTTCCTTCACATTCTATGCTATAAATCGAAATCATTCCCAAATGTTACAGCATTAGTAACGAAACTCATTCCTTCAAGGTAGCATACCCCTTCTCTTCATTCACCCATTCCAGTCACCATCCTCGAGACACGATCCTAGATAACACAAAATTTGTGTGTAAACTGAGCCATGTAGTTTAATTCGTCAACAAACTCTGATACTAAAATCAAATTGCATTTTAAGCTAGGCACACAAAGAACATTGCTTAATTTTAATGTTTCACTGCGCATCACCATTCTTTTCTTAACAGTAAAAATTTGTTTTCCATCTGAAAGTCCTACTGGGCATTGCAATATTGTTCTCGTCAGTCAAGTATTCTAACTCTCTTAAGTATTCTAACTCTCTTAAGTACCTGTATCAATAATCCATTGAGTAGAATTACGCTTGCCAGTTAGCTTTTCAGTAGCGCCTAACTTGATACTCATCGTTTAGTCCACCATGAGTAAAGTTGCCAGCATATGTTATCGTGGTGTTAGGTTCTGATCTGGGTACAAGGCTTGCGCTGCATTTTGCTTTAGTCACTACACTAATCCTCTTGGAAGTGACGCCTTTCCTTGTTATCAAATTTACCTTGACTACTACCTCATCCAGTTTCTCAATGGTGTTCTTCGACCACTCAGGATAACTAATTAAAAGCAGTTTTTAGATTCATGTTTTGAACTATTATTATTACTGCATATTATGTTCCCGTCCTTGCTTTCAGTCATGTCATAATATCTTTCTACATTCTGAATAACAAATATGTCGATTGTCTTTCTCACCTTCACTTCTTCGTAACATCAGATAGCATAATGAAGAATTTACATGTAATTATTGCCCTCATTATATTGTTTATCCAGAAAATCAAGAATGTTAAATATATAAATAGAGTGTAATAAATCATGAAAGATTCATGCTTGGATGTAAAATTCAGTGTTTACTAATCAGATTTCTAACTTTATATTAGTCAAACACAATGACATTAAAATAAATCTTCTATAATGTAAATTGTGAAGGTTGGCAGCTGCACAGCACTGAATTAAAAATTCAAAGTCTCTGTTGGCTACCATTGTTTTCCAACTGTATTTCAACTGTACTTTCAACGAAATCCGGATTCTCCCCCTTCGATTCTTCAACTTGGGAGCTTTCTGAGTCTGGTTGATCATCTTCAGGGCATACTACTTTGTATGCATACATGAAGGAGTAGTAAGCAAAAACCAGAAGAAACACAGCGTTCAATATTCCCAACATCAGATAGAACCTGTCCAAACGACTAGCGTTCAAAGTATCCTTGAACCAACTAGGGATACCTAAGACAAGTGGAATGATCAAGAGTTTTCCACTACCAATCACCAATCCCCCAAACGCATCCCCAAAACTCCACATTGATTTCGCCACGTGCCTACGGAACAAACTCGCCATTCCACCCTCAACAAGCCCCTCAGTGATTCCCATCAATGAAAATTGCGGAACCAAGGCCACTGTGGAGTTTCTGCCTTCCTCGATGTAACCCATCTCCTTGTTTACGTTCAATCTACCAACCTCAACTTTCCAAGCTATGAGGCTACAAATCACTGCAAAAACCATGCCAAAACCAATCCTTACAATTGCTGCTTTCTTGTTGCACACGTTGTCAATAAATTTGAAGTGTTTTAAGCGTCGAAATGCACAACCGATAAGAAAACAGATGAACCGTGACACATCACTCACGCCCTCCTTGATCAAAAAGAGAAGAAAGATATCATTATCATTTTTAGTAATCTTTGATGTCATGTTGCTTGCTTGTGCAACAAAAAAAGTGTTCTCGGTGGCCACGAGTAAACTGTAACCAAAGAATGCAAAGCCCAGGTAAAACATAGGAACCAGGCTCTTCACTTCCCTCACGTCCTTTACCGTGCAAAGCTTCATATTCTTTTCTTGCACCTCCACACCCACTCTGGAATCTTCTGGTTCAAGTATAGCTGCTTTGTCCAACCACCGGCATAACCGTGGAACTGGTGGCACTAACCTTACTCCTTCACGGTGTTTATAATGATGATCTTGCTTACAACCCTTCCAGTAATATCTACTCGGCGAGGTTGGATATTTTGCACCCCGTTTCCATAAAGCTGCTTTGAGGATTCTGTAGATCTTGCGTAGATTGCTTTCAACAGGCAATTCTTCGCGGCTGTACCACGCAGAACCAGCGAGGAACACCATGTAAGTGCCACCCATGAAAAGTGCCGCGAATCGGAATGTGTGCTCGTACTTGTCATCAACGACGAAGGCATAAATAATTGTGATGATATATCCAACAACACATGGAGCGTACATCCAGCTTCTAATAAGCACTTTATCCATGAACTCTAGCTCTTTCTTCTTGTGTGTGCTTCCACCACCTACTGCTTGTCTCGCTTCAATTTTCTCTTCCAATTGGTATTCAAGAAAATTTTCTGTAAGCTTTTGACCACTGTTCCCTAATGCAAGGAAGATTATAGCTGCATAGAATGTATGAAATTGAGAAGGTGTGTCTGATGTAGATGTCCATAGCAGCATTATACCCTGGGAATGAAAGATTTTGGTTTTGCCCATTGTTATTTACAAGGTGAACATTACTATGAACATTTTGTGGACTTTCCTTAACAATTTTTTAATCTTCCAGAATCTACATAAAATTCGCAACATGTAAATTTTAATAAAAAGAAAAAATATCCCACTTTTATTAATATAATAATTATAAAATATTTAATAAAAATGAAAATAAATTAAAATTATTATTATTATTATAATATTAAAAGAGGATTGGTTTTTTGGGTTGTATGGTTTTTGGGTGTTGAAATATCATTCCCGAAAAAAATATGTTGGGAAATTCACCTGGAATATGAATAACTGTCATAGAAACAATAATGGAAATAAAAATGAATTTTATTTATATATATAAAGTTCGAATTTTGAAAGGATAAACATCCGATTTAGAAAGAGAAATATATATTTCTAAAATAAAAACGAAGAAAAAGTGTTTGAAGTATAAGCACTGAAAAAGTATTGAAACCTTGTTTATAATGTGTAAATAAGAATTTACCTGGATTGAAGCTGCAGTGCAAAACGTGATCATAGCGTAATAACCTGTATATGCTTCTGAAACAAGAGAAACAATAACTAGAAAGAGGGATGATAGACCATCTTGAAGATTGGTAACAATGGCATCTATCTGTTGGTTCTCCCCATTAGTTGATGAATCTCTCAAGTAATCCATCAATACAGACACCACTGCAATTTCCACATACTTGTAGCTTACAACCAAAGCTGAAAATAAATGGATGAGAAAGTTAAGTTAAATTTTAATTTTCATGAACGACACAATCAACTACATTCTTTGATGATTACCGCCAATGAAAGGTAAGGTCTTAGGGTTGACGAATAGATAACGGAGTGAAGCCATTGTCAAGTGCCAGAATTTCTTTGTAACAGCACATGAAGTTTTATTTTTGGAACTGATGATGTTTTCTTGCAGCGCCATGATGAAGTTTGAGAGGAACAGCACAATCAATGACAATATTAAAGAGGTAGTGTTTGGTGGGACACAGAGAGCGAACAAAGGTTGTGGGAATTTTTCCCATAAGAAGATAAGAATAAAATATCATTGCCAAAAAAAGATAGTAAAAAGATTATTCTACTCATGTTTTGCTTCTATCTCAAATTTTGGAAAAGCAAAGAGAAAAAATAAATAAACGAAATCTAAACATAACTAAAAGATAATCCAGTTTGATAACTACTGTGACTAATAGAAACAAAATATTCTATGTTATAATAAATATTATTAAAATCAATTATCATTTTCGCACGATGTCTTGATAAATTTTGAAACAAAAAGTGTAACATTTACTATTTTAAACTTTTCAAAATTATTTCTACCTGTTTAGTTCTCAGGGTTGCTTTTCCTATCATGGCTTACGTTGGTTCTAACATAATCAATTTTCTTAGCTTTTCATTAGCCTAGTTTTTATATTTATAGATAGAGGTTTTACACGATTCAAACTCGATTTGAGAAAAAGCAAGGCCATAGAAACTCTTGCACCTCTCCATCAAACTTATGACTTTAAATAAAAATTTGCAAAAGAAGGTTGGAACTTGAAAAGGGGTTGGAAAGGAAGAATTATTACTTCAAATAATATTTGGAATTCAAATTAATATATTTTCAATTATAAGGTTGTCGGGTGAAAATAAATTCAACGTTGTCCTCCTCGGAAAACTCCAACAACAAAAGGAAGGTGGATTAAAATTTTCTTTTCTTTGTTTTTCTATTTCCAGAAAACTGATAAGGGGTAAAGTCGAAATACATTGAGTTGTGTACGTGAATAACGTTGCCCACAAAGTGCATGTGATGAACAAACGCTTTATTAATGCATCCTTTAAATTGTTCTTTGGGTAAGAGAAGATTCCTTTTGCAGGGTCAGGAGGAGAAATCAAAGAATCAAAATAAAGAACATGTAAAAAAGTTCTGATACCCCTGAAACTATCATGAATGTTGAGTATACCAATCACTGAACATGCCACTGGTAGTTCGCATGGTATCTTATGTGAAAACCATTTATATGGAATGTTGATGTCAATTTTTCAGCTACAGAATGCAGAGTAATTGTGAAACTCGGATTTCAAATCTCAATCACCTGGTAATGTTCTGAGCATAGCAGAATCTAGAGTATCTGCTCATTTGATTCTGAGATTTGTTCACGATGTCAACATATGGACATGTTTTAAGTTAACCATTTCAATTAATGTATAATTTTATTTGCTGATAATTCATTATTCTTAGTAAAAGTTAAATATTAATAATCGTAAAATTTGTACTATAGAAAGTGAAATGATAGCATTATGTTAAATCACTAAGTAGGAGTTATTATGGGAACTCCAAATCTCACATCGGCTAATTTGAAGAAATAGAATGATAGACTGCTACTATAAATAAAGGATGATAATTTGATTTGACTCATTAGAATAATATTAATCTTTAGGTGTATTAGGACTTGGATAGTTGTACGTAAAGAAAAAAAATTTGTAATTTTTTCGAAATTATATAATAGGGTTTGCAATCTTTTTAAAAATAAAGAGCTATTGAATATATTAGTGGAAATAGGCAAAAAAAAAATGTTGAATCACATTATTTCTATCTTTGTTTTCTCGGTGTGCGCTTTTACAGGTGAAATGTTTTTGTTTCCTCTGGCACCCAACAACTTATTCATAAATTAGAGCCTTATGTGAGGCATTCTACTTTGGTTCACGAAATTATGTATATATACACCATTCTATTTCGGATTATGGAGACATTCTACATCCATTTAGATATTTATTAGGATTTAACATATTGTTTGTATTTGTTTTTTAAATCCTTATAAATTATTGAATCATAACGTATTAAGTATAAACTAGTGTCATTAAACAATCGGAGGTAATCATATACATTCTCAACTCTCTGCATATTCAATTTTGAACTTAAATAAAATTTTGTAAAAATGAGAGTTTAAAAGAAAGTTATACTAACATTTCTTTGAAATAAATACATATTCGACGAAAAAAAAAGTGAAAACTCTTATTTTTGAAAAATAACAAATAAATAAAAATGTGTTTTAAAAGCACATGGTTAATTAAGATTGAATTAAGAAGAATAACAAGACAACGTGCATGTTTACTAATTAAAACAAATTATTAAAAGAAAAATAATTTTAAATTTTAGTTATAAGATAACATACATCAAGAATGTTAATAAAATACGAGGAACTTGTATATTTTATATTTATAAGTAAAGTATCATCAAAGTAATCGTTTATTTTAATAAATTGTAATTACGGTTTCATCGTTCACATTGGATTTATCTCAGTTTAATCTCTTAGTACGGAGTTATAAACTATTAGTAAAACATCTTCATCCCTTAAATAGTTTGCGTTAGATTCTAGTACTCATGGAGACTTCGAAATAACATATTATGTCTAATATGAAAAAATTTTAGTTGTTTAATCTTAGGTTTACAATCCCAAAATCATTTTTCAATGTTAAAAAATAACAAAAGTATATTAAGATAAAACAAACACACTAAGTATTAAAAATAAACATAGAAATAGAAGATTAGTTACTCATCGATATTACAATTATAGAGGTATTGAGTTGAGAATCTTCAGGCCTGAGTAATTGGACAAGCCAACCTTTTTGGACGAAATGAAACATTACAATCATTTTAAAATTCGTAGATTTCGCTAAACGAGTATACATTTTCATTGAGCAAAATTGACACATATATTTTCTATCATAAGTTTCTCGTTTAACGAAAGATATAATCGTTAAACGAAATCTTCAGTTTTCAAATCTCTTCCTTCCCCTTCTAGTTCCAATCTCAGGGAAAGTTTCACAAAATCAAAATAATAATATGACTTTTTTAATTCTAAATATTCTCAATAAAAATTAAGAAAAAAAATAAATAACATAAATATAAGAAAAATAATTTAATAAACGAATAAAATAAAATTTTATCATATATATATATATATATATTAATGTTAATTTTAATGAGTTAAAATTATAATTTATTATGTTAAAATTATCTGGAAAACAAAGTTTATTAATTTTAATCTATTAATTTGAGTTTTTTTACATGTTAAAATCATTGAATATTCTTCTTTAGATGATTTTAAGTTATTAAAATATTAATTTAATTTAATTAATTAAAATAAAAACGAGTATTTGAGTAAAGTATGTTAAAGTGAAATTAATATATTAAATTAAATTTTTAATTCATTAAAATATTTTTTTCTCCTTCAATCCCAATATTAATACGAACATTTTAAAATATTAAAATAAAATTTTAATTCCTTAAAATAGTGGACAAATTTTCTTAAATAAAATTAGCATATTAAAATAAGTTATTACTCAACTAAAATATTCTTTATGTCTAACCCAACGTTCTTAAAAATATTTTAACATATTAAATAGAATTCTAATTCATTAAAACTTTTAGAAAAACCTTAAATCTATATTAAAACCTTCACATAATTTTTTTTATTAGAATATATTATTTATAATCACGTAAGCCTAGATTACAAAAGACACAACATAATCATAATTAATTTCTTCTATCTTCATACATCATCCATTAATAGCTAGATTGGAATCATGAAATTGAAATTGACGAAAATTTATAGGGTTTTGTGCATGTGTAGTTCTAATTATCATGTCGGTATATTTTTATCCATGTATTATATATATAGAGTAAAAATGTTATAAAATATTAAATATTAATAATATCTCAATTATAACTGTTTAAATCAAAATAATAACTTACATTTTTTTATCTTCTATCTTAAAAAATAATAAAATCTTTTAATACCTGATTTAAATAAAAAATAATAATGCTAACAAAAATATGTTATCTTCAACTTTTCTCATTTTCGGGAAGATTGCAGCCTTTTATTGCTAATTATATCCCTCCATTGTGTCTGTCATATCTGCACATAGAATAACAAAGGGTCTTATTTATTACCGTTTGTCATTATCAATTGCAATAAAAGTATAATGAATAAAGTGAAAAACTTATGATAAAAGAAAAAAAAAAGCACATTGATGAATATAACAATCATTAGAAGACTATTCTAGAAGGAAAATTGGCATAATAGAAGACAAACCACAAAAAACAATCAATTAGAACACTCACAAATTTCATAGCCCAAACAAGGTAACCACAAAGAGCAAAACACAAAGCGAGTAAAAGACACACAACAATCCCTAATCCCTCTCATTAGCTCATCCATTTTGGGAAAATAGAATTCCTCTTTTTATATAGTTTCCATTAGACGTATTTTTCTTCTTGTTCATTTTGTGTACCAGAAGACCCATGTTCATTAAGATTTTGTTGTGGTTCATCCTTCATGACCCACTTTGCATTCATTTTTTTCACAATCCAACTTGTGTAGTGTGAAGTTGTTGACGTGGTTGGACTTTCGGATCAATTAAATGTTTCTCCTTCATGTCAACCTAGTGTTTCAGTATTTTGGACACAAGAAATACAAATGTCAACCTAGTGTTTCAGTATTTTGGACACAAGAAATACAAATGGTAACCTATAATTAGCACTACAAGAATTTTACATATTAGTTATGACGTATTCCGTAGCTATTTTATAGTTAATCTCTCGCTGGTATGTTTTGCTACAGATTAGCTACGGAATAGCTATGGAATAGTCCGTTGCTAAATTCAAGTAGCTAATTAGATAGAGATGTATTCTTTCTCAAATTTGTAGTAAATTTTGTCGCCAATTTGTCGCTAAGTCTCTCGCTAATTTAAGTGATGAAATTTTATTTCTCCCTAGCTAATTGATCTCCTAAAAGTTGTAGTTAATCCGTAACTAATCTTTCGCAATTTTTCTCCCGCTAATCCGTAGCTAATCCCTCGCAATTTCTCTCTCGCTAATTCCTCGCAATTTCGCTCTCGCTAATCCGTAGCTAATCCCTCACAATTTTTCTCTCGCTAATC